CCCCCCCGGGGGTTCGGCACCCACATACAGACCGGTTCCCGCTCACTGGCTGAGCGAGGCGCGGGGGCAACACCGAGGGTTGCGATCCCGTTGCCGGTCCCTGGTCCGGTACGGGGGCAACACTGAGGGTTGCGATCCATTGCCAGACACGGAAAAAGACAAAAAGACACACACACACACACAAAAAAGTGTTTTAAAAGCTATGTATAAGGTAAAAACACAGCAAATCCCAGTGAGGGGCCTCTATGAATAAAGAGCTTTGAAACAAATATACAAACAAAAGTAATCCAGAGCATAGGAGTCAAGAAGAGAGAAAGCAGGCAGAGTTGGATTCTTTTTTTTTTTTTTCTCCAATGTAGCCTTGGGAAAGCTAAAGAAATCTTAATCAAAATACACCAGGGTCTGCAGGACCCCAGGCCACCACCAACGGAGTCCCAACCCTTGAGAGAGGCCCCAGCCGCCACCTGATCCCCAGGACCAGAGGCAGTAACAGACAGCTGAGCGTCAGCAAAACTCCCTGATACTGCTTCAGACACCAGGGTGGAACAAGTAGACTGCAATAACCTTTGCCACAATGACTAAACACCAAAGGAGAGATACTAGAATTATGAAAAAAAAACAAGAAAGTATGACACCATCAAAGGAATATAATAACTCTTAAGTTAATAACTCTTAAGTTAGACTCTTAAGGTCTAGACCCTATAGAACAGGAGTCCTTGAAATGACTGGCAAGGAATTTTGAGGAACAATTCTAAGGAAACTAAATAAGATACAAGAAGACTCAGTTAGACAACCAAACAAAATGGAAAAAAGTATACAGGACCTGAAAGAGGAAATGTACAAAGAAGTCAATGCCCTGAAAAAGAATGTAGCAGAGCTTGTGGAGCTGAAGGATTCATTTGACAAAATAAAAAACACAACAGAGAACCTAACCAGAAGGCTTAATTAACATACAGAAGAGAGAATTTCTGATCTTGAAGATGGCTCGTTCAAAATAACACAGGTGGACACAAAAGAAAAAAGAACTAAAAAACTTAAAGAAAATCTAAGAGAGATAACAGACAACCTCAAGCACTCAAATATCATCTAAATCATGGGTATTCCAGACAGGGAGGAAAAAGGAAATGGCACTGAAAACATTCAATGAAATATTAGCAGAAAACTTCCCAGGTATAGGGAGAGATACAGATCTTCAGATACAGGAGGCTCAAAGATCCCCCAACATATTCTACCCAAAAAGGTCCTCTCCAAGACATGTTATAGTCAAATTGGCAAAACTCAAAGACAAAGAGAGAATCTTAAAACCTGAAAGAGAGGAGCACCAAGTCACCTATAAGGGAACCCCTATCAGACTAACAGCAGACTTTTCATCATAAACCCTAAATTCCAGAAGAGAATGGGATGATATATTCACAATACTAAAAGACAAAAATTTCCAGCCAAGAATGCTTTACTCAGCAAGGCTACATTTCCGAAATGAAGGACAAATAGTATATTTCCCAAACAAGCAAAAACTGTGGGAGTTCACCACCATGCAACCAGCCTTACAAGACATTCTCAGGGGAGTACTGGGTCTGGTACCTGAAAAACAACCATCAGTACCATGAATACTCAAGATAGAATAAAACCCACCAGTGCAATAAAATGTTACCAATAAAGAGAAAATAAAAGTTTATCCACTATTCCAAGAAACCTACAAACACAGAAAACAATCTGTAAATCAGAAAGAAAGGAACAAAAGATATTTAAAACATCCAAACAAAAAGCACTATAATGCCCAGAGTAAATCAATACCTTTCAATAATAACTCAATGTAAAAGGTTTGAATTCCCCAATCAAAAGACACAGGAGGATTAAATTGGATTTAATCTGACTGACTGAATTAAAAAGATGGACCCAACAATATGATGCCTTCAAGAGACCCACCTCACCTGTAAAGACACACAGATACTAAGAATGAAAGAATGGAAAAAGATATACCATGCAAATAGAAATGAAAAAAGAGCTGGAGTAGCTATTCTTATATCAGATAAAATAGACTTTAAACCAAAAACCATAAAAAAGATAAAGAAGACCACTATAAAATGATAAAAGGATCTATCCAACAAGAAGACATAACAATCATAAATATATATGCACCCAACATCGGAGCAGCCAGATTTATAAAGCAAACATGATTAGAACTAAAGAGATAGACACTAATACTATAATAGTTGGGGATCTGAACACCCCACTCTCAACATTGGACAGATCATCTAGGCAAAAAATCAACAGAGAAACACAAGACCTAAACAACACTTTAAACCAATTGGACTTGACAGATATATACAGAACATATCATCCAACAATGTCAGAATATTCATTCTTCTCTTCAGCACATGGAATATTCTCCAGGATAGACCACATGTTAGGTCACAAATCAAGTCTCAACAAATTCAAAAAATTTGGAACTATTCCATGTATTTTTTCAGACCACAATGGATTAAAACTAGAAATCAATAACAAAGAAAATTCTAGAAACTATACGAATACATGGAAATTAAATAACATTCTACTTAATGACATATGGGTCCAAGAAGAAATTAAACAGGAAATCAAAAAATTTATTGAAACTAATGAAAATAATGACATCATATCAAAACATGTGGGACACTAAAAAAGTAGTCCTAAGGGGGAAATTTATTACACTAAATGCTTACTTAAGAAGAATGGAAAGATGGAAAGTAAACAACCTAATACTTCACCTTAAAGAATTAGAAAAACAAGAACAATCCAAACCCAAAGTTAGTACATGGACAGAAATAATTAAGATCAGAGCAGGGGTTGTCCTGTCAAGATGGTGGGGGGAAGAAGACACAACAATCACAACAATTTCTTGATCTTGTTTAGGCAAGTGAACAGACTTGATGTTGATGGGGGTGGGGGGTCAGAAGGAGGGAGGATGAGGAGGAACTGGTAAAGGGACATGCAAATCAACTATATTGTATATTGATAAAGTAATGAAAAAAATTTTTTTAAATACACCAGGGTCTTGGGAAGAAAGAGCTAAAGTGGGTTCGGGGCTAGCAGAGTGTCCTGCAGAGTTACTCTGCATTCCTCTGTACACTGAGAAAGGAGTTGGAAGAGCTCCTCCTGTGCACAGAGGCTGCCCCTTGGCCAGTCCAAACTAAGGCTGAGAAAACAAGTTCTAATCTAAATCATTCCAGTTACTTTCTATCTCTAGGCCAGGACCACACTGGAACCAGGAAAATGGATATACCACCCCATCTGCTAACTGAAGATCAGGAGGGGGAAGCCAAGGCCTTTGTCTGCATTCCAGAGGAATCATCCATGAGAAAAATAAAGACGCTTCTGATAATGCTTTTTTAACTAGGAAAGCAAATGGCACTTTGTCAAGTTTTCTTTCAAAATTGAAATTGTACTTACGTTGCCAAGGTATCCTCATTATCAGCAGCAGCAGCTGTTCGAAAAACATCTTCACTGGCATCTAGAAGTTGACTCACTGTTGTCACAGCAGTTTTTTTTGCCTACCAAAGAAAAGGCGTGGATCATCATAGAAAACACATATCATACATTATCATCACCATAATCATGATGAACTATTATAGTATCAAGAAGCATCACTGGTATGATACTCTGGAGGCAAGAATTTTTCAAAATTAAAGGTTTAGTTTTGATCTACATAAGGTGGCAGAGAGAATCAAGATAAAGCAAAGTGAAAATATAAATTAAGGTAGTAAATTAGGAGGCTTAGATCTCCTCATAACAAGACCTCATATTAGGTCGACCTCATAGCAAGATCTTTCACAGAATCCCCACCCCACTCCTAAAAACACAAAAGCAAATGCTTGCATACAAAAGCAGAAACGAAATAAGAACAGTGCAGACCTCTGATTGTTAAAACATTAGTCCACAATACTTAGCCTAACTTATTATAAATACTAGACTTAGTAAAATTATTTCTAGTTTTCTTACAATCAAAAACTCAAAAATACGTCAGAGAGATGATCTCTTGGCATTTGATTCCTATTTGGGGGTATTGATACCCTTCTGTCTTTACTGACATCATAAATTCCACATTTGGTGATCAATATTTTTCTCTTTCAATTCCAATTTTATTAACTTGTGATTTGAATCCCACCTACTTTCCAAAGGTACTATGGTAACATAAAATAGTTTTTTTTAAAAAAGCAAGACGTTGAAAGAGAATGGAAGAAAGGAGCAGCTATTTCCAGGCCATGCTGATATACAACTGGTAAACACTGTGACAGTCCGTGTTGATTCTTGACCAGTACTCAAGGTCCATCAATTGGTAAATGTTGAGTATGCTTCTTGTTGTCAGGTACCAGAGTTTAGCAGGTTGGGATATCAGAAATGTAAATTACGCTTAAAATTTTTAGAAAGCCAAGACCAAAATGCAAATATGCTTAGCAGAAAGAGAGCACAGTTTAAAATAGTATATTCCAGAGTGAGTTCTTTGGAATATTATTTACTCAGAATAGAACAGGGATGGTGAGATCAAATACAATTCGTAAACATATAAAAAAGTAAAATACACTTGTTCGTTTCGTGACTTTCTGAAGATGGAACGATATAATGATCATTGTTACTATCCCAAAAGAAAATATTTGGACAAGGAGTCCTTTTTTCTCTGAGCATCTCTCAGAAGGAGTGCTCTGCAAAATGGTTTTAAGCAACCTAAACCATGCCCAAATTCATATCATGGGACGAGTGATGTTCGGAGAGTCTTTCTTCCTTTCTTCCCACCCTTTTTTTTTTTTAAGTCTTATGAGTTTTACCTCAGATTCAGCCTTTCTGGATGTGTTGAAGATCTGTCCAACCACTTTAGCAACAGAAGTGATGTTGTCAGCAGTTAATTTACTGGCATCAGATGTTAAAATCAGGGCTTCAGTGGAAATATTCTTAGATTGTGTTTGGATACTGTCTATCTGTTTAAAAACAAAAACAAAAGCAAAACACCCTAGCTCTGTGTAACTATGTCTAACCACTTTGCAAGCAACTGCAGGTGAATAAGCTGGAATTTAGCTGAGCCTCGGTCTCCTGAATATCACATTTCATTGTTTAAAGGACTAAGCACATGCAGGCCAGTGGTTTCTCTGTCTGCCAGGACTGGTAGCTATAACGGGCTGCCTTAGCTATATTGGAGCTACTCAAAGTGTGTCTGCAGACCGATGTTGGTTTGCTAACTGTTTGTTACAAAGTTTATAGGGAGATAAATAAGCACAGAAACTGAAAGTAAATGGTCAGAAATTTGTATAGCAATTTTACGGTGTTGAAACTAATACGTTGGGTAAAAATATTGGGTTTGCATTTTATATATCTTTTTTTTTTTTTTTTTTTGTCTTTTTCCGTGTCCGGCAACGGATCGCAACCCTCAGTGTCGCCCCCGTACCGGACCAGGACCGGCAACGGGATTGCAACCCTCGGTGTTGCCCCCGCGCCTCGCTCAGCCAGTGAGCAGGAACCGGTCTGTATGTGGGATCCGAACCCTCGGTGGGAGCGCCGCCGCGCTTCCCAAGCGGCGCACTAGCGCAGTGCGCCACCGGGCCGGCCCCTATATATCTTTTTTCATTTCATTTTTCTGGCAACTCATTTTTATGGTGTTTTACAAAATTATTGGTCTGCCATAGGTCGGAAATTTTTGTAACTTGCTTTTCAGCACAAATAGTTTGGGAAGCACTGGCCTAGGCATCCTTTCCAGGTACCAACTAGCCCCAGGGCACTGTGTTGTGAGACTAACACATGTTAATCCATATTGTCATTAGTGGAGCTGGGTGTCAACGTGTGTGTGTGTGTGTGTGTGTGTGTGTGATTTAGTTTTCACTAGATGGCAGCAAAATTTCAAAAATCAAACCAATGTCACAAGCTATTCACACTGAGAGAAGAGTCAGAAATTTACAATCAGTAGACAGAAACAAATAACTGTCTCATTCAATAGCCAGGTCCGTGCTATGTGCTAGGCACTTTGCTAGATGTTTACAGATGTTATCACATTCAATACACAAACAACATTGTAAGTTGAGTGCCCTCATTCCCACTGAAAGGCTCAGAGAGGTTAAGGAGCTCACTTCTGTTTGGAAGTGGCAGAGCTAAGAGTCAAACTCTGGCTTGTCAGACTCAGGAATATGCAGTCTTTCCTCTGGTCTGTATCGTTGGAACAATGTATGTGGTTGGCAGCCACTTCCAACCTATCCATCTGTGATTAGGGAGCCAGTGTGGCAGTGTGGACTTTAAAATCAAGAGCAGCTCCATCATTTTTCAGTTGTGGTGACTGGACAAAACACTTCACCTCTCAGAATCATATTTTCCTCATCTATAAAATGGATATTCTCACCTATGGTGTTATAAGAATTAAATGTAATAAAACAATAAAATGTTTGGCACAGTATCTGGCATGTAGTAACTGCTCAACAATTAATAAGTGTTATTATCTCTAATTATCTATAATATGGTAATAACATCCAACTCACAGAGGTTTTATAAGGATTAAACGAGATAACATATGTAACATGCCTGGCACAAAAAAGGCCCTTTGTAAAAGTACACTTCCTCTTCCTACCCTTACTTAGCCCCGGTGTTAGCTCTTCCACACATGTGCAGTTGGGCACATCCTTAGTCAAAATAATTTAATCTGCATGAAAAAATATCTACTCAGATGTACTTCCCATTTCACCTGCTTATGGATATAGCCCTGAGACCAGCATCAGCTTTGGAGTTTCCTGTTTCAAAGGGTCACAGTTCTTTTCTCTTCATTCTATTCCAGTAAACCACCAAAATTCCTTCCTTTGGTTTCAAACATCAGGGATCTGTTTTCAGCCAAAACTTCACTAGTCTTCAAAGATGAGACCAACTAAAATGTGCTATAGATTATCATTTGTTGAAATTTGCTGAACATTTTTGCAACAGTTGAACATGTCCAATGTCCTTTTTCACAAACAGATGTCAACTTTAAAGAAATAAGAATGGTTTAGTTACTAGTTTTTATTTCTAATTTGAGAATTTTAAAAGCACTGTTTTAACCACCAACTTTCTGAAGAACAGAGACTTTGCACAGTCAGAGCTTCTTCCAACTGCCCATTAGATGGACCATATGGCATACCTGCTGTTCCAGGGTTTCCAGATTTTCATTACAATTTCCTATTTTCGCAGCTTGTAATTCTATGTTTCCGTATGTGGAAAGACTGCACAGCCGGATTGCTATTGGATTTCCCGCTATAATAAAAAGAAAGGGAAAAAAAAGATAGTGTTTGCAAAGATGGCCATAGCAACCTCCTGGACCTGTGCAGTGCACCTTCGCAATATGACCCTGACATACCTCCCATCAAGAGATAGAGTCTACTCCTCCACTCCTTTAAACCTGGGCTGGACCGTGACTTGCTTTAACCAATAGAAGGTGGTAGAAATGTGTGAGTTGCAGAGCCTAGGCCTCAAGAAGACTTGAAGTTTCAGCCTTCACTCTGTGGAACACTGTTCTGAGACTGTCATGTCACGTAAGGAAGCAGGTTTAACCCACTGGAGAATGAGAGGCCAAATGGAGAATAATTAAAGCGCTCCAGCCAACAGCCAGCTCTCATGCCCCAGACCCCTGAGTAAGGTTGTTTTGGATCTTCCAACACAGCCATGCTGCCAGTCAACCCACAGAACTGTGAGAAATCTAAATCATTGTTTTAGACCAATAAGTTTGGGATGGCCTAATACACAGCAATAGAAAAGGGAATCAGGAAGTTACTATGAGAATATTTTAGGCAGATAACACTTGTCTTGATTTTTAAATCTGGAGTTCAAAAGAACAATCGAGTATTTTCCTTCCTTTGATGTCTGCAAGGAAGATTTACCTTCTAACAATTAGGGACATAATAGCTTTGAACTGGATATGATGGGAGAATACTAGGCTGAGAGATCAGAAACAATATGAAAAATTCCTAGTAAATATTGAATTATATTTTGATCTTCCCTTCTTTATGCAAATCTAGGTAATAACTGAAAGGCAAAGATATATTCAGATATATTTCAGCACCTATTTAATATTTGATTGGCTCCTCAATGAAATTTGCTGGATCATCTAGTTTATTTTCTAGGATTATCACCTTAGCCTCCCTACCTCACTGTTCTCCTGTAGATAATACTTAAGTATCTGCTACAAGTAAAACTGTATTTAGAGGGACAACTGATCAGAAGATGAATTTTTTTCTCAGGACCAGTTTTGGGCAGCTGCTTCTTGTGGCAACAACTAGAAACACTGAAATTAGAGATGGCTTCAACACTTAAAGTAGAAAGTTGGAGTCACTCTTAATTTATATGAAGGCTCCACCTCTACTTCATGATAAATGAAAATTCTAACATACATATATATATATATATATACATATATATATATATATATGATATAAATAACTTTAAAGTGGCCTTATATCAAATGCATCTTTTCCTCTATATTACCTACAAGTATCTCTACTCAAAAGTCATTAAAAAATATTTTTTTCCATTTGCTATATAAAACTGAGTAATTAGAAATAATTCTTAATTTTACACTAAAAGTAAATTTGCCAATAATTGGAACGTGTATTTTTAAAATTATATGATGGGTTCACTCTGAAACTCAAAGGTAAATATAATAAACATGTTTTTATAATAGTTGCTTAGAAAAGAAAAAAAAAAAGAAAGATGGTGAATCTCTGTCCCAGAAAAATAATATATGCCAAATAAGTGTGGTAACTCTTCATGGGTATATTACTGACACTTTTGGTCTTCCTAATTCAGTAGCACATGATTATATTTTATAAGTTGGATCTGTTTTATAAATCATTATAAAATATTTAAGACATCCAAAACCTGTGAAATTAAAACAATAGGTACTCAGAGGCATACCGTACAGTATAGTATCGTATATATAGTATGTGTAATAAGTACCAATACAGTTGGAACCCCTTTTACCCTCTGAGTTCTTAAGTAAGAGGCCGGAAGGATGTGTGTAAAGATTATGATCATGAGAACTTAAGTAAGCATGACATATGTGGGCAGAAGCTATCTGGATTCTGCAAATGAAAAGCAGATCTACATAATTGCTCAGAATAAATAAGGTAAAGAAGCATATAAGAAAGAACAATTTATGTAATTTAGTTAGTGTTTCAAAGAACCCTTGACATATATAAAAATAAATATCTAAATAAAATGTGAAATTCTCCCTAGGGTCATTACTGACAACAGTTTTATCAAACATTTTTGTAAATGATCTAGAATTGGCTGTACTCTAGAGGTATCCAGTTCTGCAAAAAATGGGGGATTACCTACAGGAAAATGTGAGAGGTAAGAGGAATAGTCAGATGAAAGTCAATGCAAACAAGGAGTAAGTAAAACATTTAGGGAAAATTATACAGCACAATAGGCTCTAGCTAGCAGGAAAGGGATCTGTGAATTTCTAAAGCCTAATCTCAGGGGATATACCCAATATGGCATTGAAATAAAATGTCATCAAAACCTGAATATTATCAGGAAACATTAGAAATAGAAAATATTGTTTGCTTCTTTACTCTTGGAATGCCTCTATGCAAGCAAGTAGTCATGTTCAAGAAAGGTAGGATGAAGCTGGAAAATGTTCCAAGATGGATATCTAAAATGACCAAGGAGATGAAGGACTGCCAGCCATGGACAGACTTAACTGTGCATCTCTACCTGGAAAGATGAATACTGAAAGTAGATGTTGTATAAGTCTATAATCTAAACTAATTTTATTCAAACTTTGGTGGATGCTTGGGTAGCTTCCACCTTTTGAACATTGTGAATAATGCTGCTATGAACTTGCATGTACTAATATCTGTTTTAGTTCCTGCTTATAATATGAACTTGCATGTACTAATATCTGTTTTAGTTCCTTCCTTTAGTTCACTTCTTTTGGGTATGTACCTAGGAGTGAAAATGGATGGATTGTATGATAATTCTATGCTTGGTTTTTTCAGGAATCTTCATAATGTCTTCCACAATTTACATTCCCACCAGCAATGCATTAGGGTTGCAATTTCTCCAATATATATAAAAATAATATATATTTTCATATGCTACTATATATATATATTTTAATAGCTGTCATAATGGGTGCAAAGTGATTTTTAATTGTGGTTTTGATATGAATTTCTTTCATGACTAGTGATGTTGAGCATCTTCTTATGTGTCTATTGACAATTTATATATCTTCTTTTGTCTATTTTTTAATCTTTTTTTGTTAACTTTTGAGTTGTAGGGTTTTTAAATATGTGTTCTATATATCAATCTCTAGTGAGATGTATGTTTTTCAAATATTTTTCTCTATTTAGTGGGTTGCGTTTTCACTCTGTTGATAGTGTTGTTTGATGCAGAAAAGATTTTAATTTTACACAGTCCACCTTGTCTTTTTGTTGTTGTTATTCTTGCTTATGCTTTTGGTGTCATATTGAATAAATTCTTGACAACCCCTCCCGAAATAATTGAGACAAATTATATAAATCAAAGAGCAAATGTTAACCTGATAGAACTCTAGGAGACAGAATACTCTGCAAAAATAAACCAATTAAAGAAGGATTAAGAGGAATTCACAAACAACTGATTCATATTAAGGTTTTTAGGAAAATTAGGATTATGTAAAGTGCCACCCTTAACTTTGAACATTGGCGTCACGAAAGGGAGCCAAGCCCTTTCACAAAACCTTCGTTGATGCTTTTTCCAGGGATCTAACACTAATTGGAGGGATGATAGGTGTGACTCGGCATAGTGATCCTTCTGCCTAAACAGAGGAGATGTTTGGAAAAACACATACCATTTGAAGTATCCTTGTCACATGTTTGCAAGGAAGGCCCATATCTGCCCACTGGAATTCTGGCAAAAGTAAAACTCCCATAGGTACTGTTTTCACAGAAATTTGCTGTAATGGAAGGAAAAAGATTTTTTTCCACTATGAATTATACTTTTCTTTTACAAATTTAAAACCATATAAAAGTCAAAGTTCAGAACCTATGCAGTATAATTTGAAGGATAATAGAAATCATATAGAACCCAGTGGCCTGCCAAGAACTTCTATACTTTTCTATCCAGTCAAGTTACCGTCATTAGAATAACTAGTGTGTTAGATAACAGGCTTCAGTTAACATGTGCACAATATATAACTGGATAGAAGTGAGACGTGAGCACTAACACATCAGCAAGTATCGTGTATCAGATTAATTGGAAATGTGTGAATTAGCACATAGAGCCCTCGGTAGCAAAGGGCATCATGAGGATGTGGATTAAAGCAAAAAGGCCAAAGTCATGGCGTGTGTGGGATATACTGGCTGGTAGGAATATACGAAATGATAGGAGTAGGCTTTGAGGCTCTGGACCCTAAGCAGGCAGCCTGAAGTGTTCATGGTGTTGGGAAGCACACCTCAGGTCAACAAATGGTCTTGCACTTTGATTCTGAAATACCATTGATTGAAGTCAAACCACTAATTTAATAACAACTCTTCAAGGAAAAGGAAGAAAAAAGATTTAAAATGTCATATAAGTATATACTTGGATGGAAGGATGCATCTTGATTTCAGAAAATCAAGATATGTTAGAATTGTGATATTTTAATAGGATAATATGGCATATCACCACTTGGAAAGACCTGAGGAAACCATATCACCAATTGCCCTGGATTAGACTTGCAGCCAGAAGGAAACACAACTATGAGTTTACAGAGAAACTTGGCAGTCGGGAAATAGACAAAGTCAATTAAACGTAAAGGTAAATAGCCCAAGAGGAAAACTTGACTTTTACTATTGAGCACATCTTAAAACTCATCTTAAAACCATCACCTTTATGCCCATGGTTTCTATAATCATTAACTGAAGATTCTGGAAAGCTTTGCTGCTGTCCTTATTAACACAAGGACCACCTAAACCTCGCATCCTAGCAGTACCCCAAGTAACTTACCAATTGTACATCTCAGTCCTTGCCACTCTTCTGGACAAATGCATCTGCCATTTTCCCAGCTTCCACCATTCTCACAGAACTTTATAGGGGTGGTCGATGGAGGAACTAAAGAAACAATAAATAACAGAATAGTATGTGAACTTGCTCTTTAGCTTCTCCTTGACCAAAGATATTAGAATCCTCCGAAAAAGAGGAGATTGTATAGAAAACAGATAAATAGATGATGTCTATAAATATACTATACGTAAATATCATAGATACACTATACACTGGACAGCAATGAAAAACAAACAGAAACTGAAGGGTATTCCATGTTTACAGTCTTTCCACTAATGGCACTTACCCAGTCTATATGGCAGAAGCAGCTTCAGTTTCACTCAGGTAGAAAGCCACAGTCTTAATAGATTAAGGTGTGAGAAGAAATTGTTTGGGACTACCAGAGAAATTGGAAATTGAACACAGGTATTCCAGAGTGGAAGGAACCATATAGAAAGAATGGTCAATGTCTGTGTATAAATCTGGGAAGAAAAGGAATTTTTTTAGATAACCAGCTTCAGAGACCTATGGGACAATACCAAGAGTCTAATATATGTAATTGGAGTCCCAGAAGGGGAGAAGAAAAGGAATAGGGCAGACAAAATATCTGAAGAAATAGTGGTCAAAATTCCTCAAATTTGGTTAAGAACTTTAGATGGTAGATCCAAGAAATGCAGCAAATCACAAGGAAAATAAATACAAGGAACACCTCACCTAGACACATCAATGGTCAAACTGCTGAAACTCAAAGATAAGGAGAAAATCCCAAAAGCAACCAACTACCAGTTCAGATAGTTTTACTAGTGAAGTAGGAAAGAAATAACACCAATCTTATACAAACTCTTTCTGAAAACAGAGAAAGTAAGAAACTTCCCAAATCATTTCATGATGCCAAGATAACCCTGATACCAAGAAAAGAAAATCACAGGCTGATAAAACTCATTTACACAGATGCAAAAATTATTTTTAAATAATAGCAAATCAAATCCAGAAGTATATAAAACTGATAATACACCACAAGCAAGTGAGATTTATCTCAGGAACACAAGGTTGGTTTAACAATAGAAAATAATTTAATTTACCATATGACACAATAAAGCAGAAAAACTATATGATCATCTCAGTAAATGCAGAAGACAAAAAGCATCTGACATTTTTTTTAACACTCAGCAAACAAGGAATAAAAGGAACTTCCTCAAACTGATAAAAATCATCTATGAAGAACTGATCACTAACATTCTACTTAATAGTGTAATATTGAATGCTTTATCCCCTAAGATTGACAGAAAAAGAGTTC